CATGATGAACGGTGATTAGAGTTTTGTATCCGTTGTTTCAGACTCATTCTAGTAGCTGACACGGGTCACCAAGTTGTAGTAGTTTCTTCACCAAGGTAAGATTCATTCTGATGGGGGTAGGCAATAAATCTTGACTCAATGTATAATTAGATTGTAACAATTGAAAAGACGTAACGAGAGCTGAATAATTGAAGTCACATCCCATAATTTTAGCAAAGTTACAAACACAAATATCCGAGTGATTACTTGTATCTACAGTAATGTTATCTACAAATACAAAATCACAAAGGGTTCTCATACAAACACATCCTTTTCCAACATATACAAGTATAGTTTCAAGGGTTTCATCGGGACGTATTTCAAAATGACAAACATTTTGTTCAGTGTCAAGACAAATGTCTTGGGCTTTGATGGTGTTACTCTCACAAATAAATCTTCATTGCTCCCGTTACAATGCATGCATTAACATCAACAGTCTGCCATTTTTTTTTCCATTTTGTTGGGCCCACACTCTTATGTTTTCATGGATAGAGTATAGTTCCATTGCGATTTAATCCTAACGCAATGTTTTGGTATATAGTGTATACCGAAGCACTGTGTATTGTTAGGACAAAAGCTGAGGCCTTATTGTTGATGGGGTCATAAGTAAAATTGACTAAATACCACCAGGATTGAAATTCCCTTTCAAATTCAGTTGCATTATCCCAAATTACCTTTAGAATTTCAGTGGGTAAGGTGCCCTCTTCACCTTCTTGTATAATTGCTGGTACCATAGATTGCATCCACAGGTGAGGTTGGATACAACTAAGAGCTAGAGAAACATTATTTTGGGCTGCACCGAGTGCATCCACAATCAATTGGTGGTCCCTCTTATTAATGCTTTCCCACTGAGGCAATATATCAGATAAGAACCATTGCTTAGTTCCCAATGCTAATAGGGAAGACCACAATGGGTGTTCTAATTTGTTTAAATCACTTGTTGTTGTGCTCAGTTTATTTACAAGTACTTCAGCGTCTATACTATTTAAGACTCCTAGTCCTGTCCCTATGATACCGGTCACATCTCTCCTTGTTCATCTTGGAGAGGTGAGGGTTCGCCCATGTAACCATGCTAACCATCCTGCATAGGATGTACTTAGGAATGACGAACAGGTCGGTTTGACTGTAGAGATGTTAATTTGCATCAATAATTCTGCTCGTTTAAGAGACCATGATGGATTAAATCAACACTCACTGTTGGCCTGTATTTTTGATCACATACAGTCAAATTTCAGAAATTTGTGGGGATAGAGTTTTCTTACCTTTTACAATTGGTGCTAGGCTCAGTAATATCTATTTTAAATTTAAATGATAGTCCCACGCTATGACGAACCAAGAGGCAAACTACAAAAACAGGTGGTACTAAGGTAAAATGGTACCAACAGTCCCAATTTTTCATAGGTGCAACATTTTCTGTCTTCAACTATTGGGTTTGATATAATGCTGTTCACTGAAATCTGAGATGCCTTCTCATGGGTAGACCCATTGATCACCTGGCATCCTATTTTAATTCTTTTCCCTGCTATTCCCTGAAGTCAGGGAACTTTATTATCCGCTTTGTCTTTATCTCGGCTCCATTCGTTTTCTAAGTATACTTCAGCTCCATGCATGACTACAGTGGAAAGATTCAAATCTCCCTTACTAGAGTGTATTCCCATACTCCTGGTATACTTAACATGAGCTTGAGACCATGGCCACTCTAGGGTTCTTTGACCACAGACTAGGAGAAGCAGCATTGTTACGGTTTGGAATATTAACATGGATACAGCATTTCTGTTTGCCATTCTGCAAGGTGCTGTAAGAGAAAATACTTGTTTCAGTGGGGAGAGTCTGAACAAGTTACCCCATTAAAAACAAGGAAAAA